AGGAATTGTATAGCTCCAACACTTTTCACAGCTCTTTACAATATAAAGGGAAACAGTACAGTTGCAGTACAGATTAAGATGAGCAAAATCTGGTGCAGCTCTGCATGGAAACCAGTCTGTGACAGGCACGGCGTCAGACCCCCAGCCCTTTTCACCGACTTTGTGACCGAAGGACTAGCCAATCTAAAACCGCGCTGCCACTTGTGTAACAATGCAACTCTCAGCTTCACCATGCACAGAGATTTTCCAGACCACAATCTATGTGCCAGCCACCTGAGAGCGATTGTTACTGGGTCAGGTTAATTACGCAATTAACCTTTCACACTGCCACCACCACCACCTTTTTACAGAGAAGGAGGAAACTCACAAATCTCAGCAGTAACACTATGATGTTTTAATAAGCGTCTGTATACACACTGTCACCACAGACAGATGTATCCAGAGATTTTAAAACACACAGTAGCACTCTTCAGAGATAGGGATTCTTAGTTTGCATTAAAGAGCTTTAGAAACAGTTCAACACTTTTCAGAAAATAGGATTTATTACTAAAAAGGTCAAAATGGTGCAATAAAAATATTTACAGAAAAGATGTAACCAATATATATATAAAAATAGAGAGAGCGTCCAAACGCTTCCATGTTTTTTTGTCAAAGCTTAATTGAGCAAACTGAAGTTAGAAGCTGATTGGCTACCATGCACAGCTGCACCATATTCTGAGTGCACCGGTTTTCGTAAATCAACCCCAATATGTGAGCTGATGGGGAAAAAAGTAAATGTTCAGTTGTTAGCTTGAAGCAGGATAGGCTTCCCTAAAGTGATGAGTTTTCAGGCATTGCAGACAAGAGTAGAAGATAGACAGATTCAGATAAAGGACAGAGGATATGAGAGGCCCTGGAGAATGCTTGTTGGCAAGCATGGGAAAGTGTGGTGAGGCAGCTAGGGAGCAGGAGGATCTTTGGAGGAGCAAAGAGGACAGTTAGTTGGTGATGTAAGTTGGGCAGAGCTGTGGAAGGATTTGTATGATAACATTTTCCATTTTTTTTAAGCATGCGGAAACTACTGGAAGAGTTGGCACAGAGGAATGTGGACACTAAGCCGTTGGTAATCTGGTTGTGTCTAGTGTAATTCTGACACTGCTAGTTAAAGAGGTCAGCACTTACAGAATACACATTTGCAGGTTTCTAGTAAATATCCATATTCACCTGTAATTTCCTGAGCTGTTTTGGCAGTACCACTAGAAGATAGTAATGAGCACTTCCAATGTCAGGGGCACCACGATTGCTGGAGAGTGTTTCAGTATAGCCTGCAAGGTTTCCTCTTCTTAATGAGAAGTAAGGAAGGAAGGTATTGAGTATGTGTATGCCACATCATTCCATAGAGACGCACTATTAACCCCAGCAGGTTCTAGTGCAGCAAATGAGACGCAGATGTCTGCCTGTCCACCATGAGAGAAGTTTTTGGGTGTCTATGGCTAACCTTGGAAGGTTCCTTCTGTTTTGCTGTGAAATTGTCACCGAGGCAGAAAGTGATGGGAAAGTAATGGGGAAAGGTTGGGAAATCTTTGTAAGAGTGACATGATAATATTTATTCTTTTATACTGACTGAAAGTAAAGAAACATCTTTCCATTGCTATAAGTGATGGTTTTTAGCATCCAGCACAGATTCAGCAGGTTTCTAGCAGTTCTTTTTAGCAGTTATTGTGACAATTTTCTGCTGTTTTTGGTAGCTATGGACGGGGCAGTTTTTCATCTCATTTGATGGACTTTTTTGCCATTGACTGGTTTTGTGGACAAAAATAATTGCAGACTGGTAGTAAAATAGCAAGTATAGTACTGCACTGTTTTTCAGCTTCAGACAACTGAACAAAATGGTTTTTTGTGCACTTGTCTGAAGAGCGAACTGGAAAATTAGAGCCAATCAGCAGGTGTCTTCGGAGTCGGGTACAATGCAGAATATTCTCGCTTGACCAGAAGATGCCTACAAGTGGTTAAAAGTGGAGTTTTGGAGATTTGAATTGCAAGTCGTTTCATAATTGGGTTATTTGCCAGCCCAGAATGGAATACAGCATATGGTATTTGTGGACTGCCAGGCATGTGGTATTCTGTCATCGGAGATAAGTTGCCACATCTCCAACTTTCCCTGAAACTAAATGATTGTACAATAAGTTATGTGTGTCCTTGAGAGCAGGCCAGTGACGGCAGTGAGGGTTCATTTCCCTGCTGATATTTATGGGGATTTTATTTTATTCTTGTTCATCACAAACACGGAGCTGTCTGAAGCTGCTGCCCACAGAAGAAGGGTATATTTTGGTAGAGGGTGGGACACATTCTTACAGTGGCAATAAAACAGGACTGAAGGTGTGAAGTGATATCCGTAAAAAAAAACAACTAAAGGGAAGAAGCGCTGTGTAGAAAGACCAAGTCTCTGCTTCATATTCCCTCCTCCCTGTATCTCCTATATTGTCTGCTGCTTCCTATTCTTCTGTTTTGGCCTCTCATTGTTTAATGAACAAGCTGTTTCATTATTCTACTGTCCATTTTGCGTCTTCCCTTGTAAAAGAAACAGGCTGATCCCATGGACTAACAGGAATGACACAAAGTTATTCAAGTTAAATATATGGATTGATCTCTCTCTCTATATATATTTTTAAAGAGACAGTGACGTTAAGATCCATGTATCCTAAAGCCTCGTACACGCGATGAGAATATCGGACGAATGATCGTCCGTTTATTTTTGCATGCTAGTATCATATTGAAAACAAAGCGGTTACTAAAGTTTGAAAAATCTCCTATGACAGAATACAACTCCGGATATCATGTAATATATTCTTTCGTTTCCGAGCATGCGCAGTCTTGGTCACTTTTTTAAAAAAAATACTGTACTGATTAAATGGAAATCGTTCATTCTGGTATCATACAAGAAAATTTTTTCGTGCATGTCCCTTCGGATAATTTCATATGAACTGTGTGATCAACTCTCGAAAGCTGTGTGCTGACGATCAGATTATCAGATGGTCACTTCGAAAGTGGTATTTTGTTTTGTCTGATTTTCTCACCATGTGTACTAGGCATAACAGTGTCTCTTTAAAAGAAACCTTATGGAAAGTGACATATAGGCTGCATTCTTGGGTGCTCATAAAAATTGTTACCCAGCTGCCATGAAGATCCAGTTCATTTAGTACTCTAGCCAGAACAGACAAGCAGTTCAGGTGTTCTTACCTATTACCTTCATTTGCTGCCTGCTTAGAATGAATATGCAAAAAGAGAGGTCAGCAATGCATAGTATCTTATGCATAGCCTCCATGTTTTTCACAGTACAAGTTGCTTTTATAATTATTCACTGAATTGGAACAAGCAAACAGGTCAACCTTTACATTTCTTCATGTTGTATCATAAGCAGTGGATCAAGGAAAAGTAAGTGTGTGTACACACACACACACACACACACACACACACACACACACACACACACACACACACACACACACACACACACACACACACACACACACACACACACACACACACACACACACACACACACACACACACACACACACACACACACACACACACACACACACACACACACACACACACACACACACACACACACACACACACACACACACACACACACACACACACTATATTGCCAAAAGTATTGGGCCGCCTGCCTTTACACGCACATTAACTTTAATGGCATCCCAGTCTTGGTCCGTAGGGTTCAATATTGAGTTGGCCCACCCTTTGCAGCAATAACAGCTTCAAATCTTCTGGAAGGCTGTCCACAAGGCTGAGGAGTGTATCTATGGGAATGTTTGACCATTCTTCCAGAAGCGCATTTGTGAGGTCAGGCACTGATGCTCTAATTCATCCCAAAGGTGTTTTGTCAGGTTGAAGTTAAGGTTCTGCGCAGGACCGTCAAGTTCCTCCACCCCAAACTCGCTCATCTATGTCTTTACGGACCTTACTTTGTGCACTGGTGCGCAGACATGTTGGAACAGAAAGGGGCCATCCCCAAGCTAGTCCCACAACTTGGAAGCATGAAATTGTCCTAAATGTCTTGCTGTTGCCTTAAACATTTCCTTCACTGGAACTAAGGGGCCAAGCACAGCCCCTGAAAAACAACCCCAAACCATAATCCCCTCTCCACCAAACTTTACACTTGGCACATTGCAGTCAGGCATGTACCGTTTCTCCTGGCAACCACCAAACCCTGACATGTCCATTGGATTGCCAGACAGAGAAGTGTGATTCGTCACTCTAGAGAACACGTCTCCACTGCTCTAGAGTCCAGTGACGGCATGCTTTACACCACTACATCCGATGCTTTGCATTGCACTTAGTGATGTAAGGCTTGGATGCAGCTGCTTGGCCATGGAAACCCATTCCATGAAGCTCTCCATGCACTGTTGTTGCTAATCTGAAAGCCACATGAAGTTTGGAGGTCTTTAGCTATTGACTCTGCAGACAGTTGGCAACTTCTGCACAGTGTGCGCTTCAGCATGCACTGACTCCCGCTCTGCTATTTTACGTGGCCTTCTACTTCGTGGTTGAGTTGCTGTTGCTCCCAGATGCTTCCACTTTGTTATAATACCACTAACAGTTGACCGTGGAATATTTAGTAGCAAGGAAATTTCACGCATGGACTTATTGCACAGGTGGCAACTTATCACGGTACCACGCTTGAATTCACTGAGCTCCTGAGACCGACCCATTCTTTCGCAAATGTTTGTAGAAGCAGTCTGTATTCCTAGGTACTTGATTTTATACACCTGTGGCCATGGAAGTGATTGGAACCACCTGAATCCAATGATTTTGAGGGGAGAGAGAGAGAGACACTGATCTTTCATAGGTATATTTAACAGACTGAAGACTAAAATAAATGTTATTAGGCAAGTTACAGTACCCTTTCATGTGTGCAGTGCTCTTTAGATTCCTTTTTGTCTTGTTGGTAGCATTATTGTGATCATGCCATTACTGTGTTTGTATTTCAGACACTGGACTAGGTGACTCGGTATGTTCAAGTCCCAGTATCTCTAGTACTACGAGCCCAAAACTAGATCCACCACCTTCTCCGCATGCCAACCGTAAGAAACACCGCCGGAAGAAAAGTACGAGTAACTTTAAGGCTGATGGACTTTCGAGCACAGCTGAAGGTGAGACCTTCCACCACCTTTTCTACCCATTTTAGTGTTTGAGACATCAATGTCACTCATCCCCTCTGAGAAGGAGAAAGGTATTGTAAAGGTAGTTCAGTCACTATTACCACTGCCATGTGTCCTCATGCAGTATTAAAGCATGTGTTGCAGCATCTAACTCTGTTCTGTCACATTGCCACACACGTTTCTGCACTGGTTATTGATCAGTCACATAAGCTGTTCCATTTAGTCAGCCTATTGCTGTGTGTATTGTAATGGTATCTTTATGCTCTTCTAAGGGTTCATTGTGTCCTCACTTGTAGCAGTAATATATCAGATATGACCGTGCTTTGTAAAACTGGAGCAGAAGTGGAACCCACAGCAAAAAAGGTTTCATATTTAAGGGTTTGTTGACACCACAAGCCTTAGCTGGACTGTATCGTTCAACGTAACCAAAATGCAAAAAAATGCATATCAGTAGTAGCAGTGTACACTGGCAAAAAAAATCTGACAAATTGTTACTTTTCATTGCAGTGTGATGCAGCCAGATTGATTTATTGTTTTCCCAGTGTATTCTCGTTGCTGTTGCCAAAAGCCATACCTTTGCAACAGTTTTCATAAAATACATCTTCTGTAGTGGATTGAAAAAATACAGATATCTGTTCCAGGGTAACAAATGTGAACGCAGATGGAGTCCATGTGGATGGGCACCTAAGTGTATCTCTGCCCCTCCTGCTTCAATCTTCATGTGAACTAAGCGGAAATTAGAGGTCTCTGTAGCAGTTTGAAGTATTCATTGAACCCTATGGCCAACACGCTCGTTGTGTACATAGGAGTTGCCAAACAGAAGCTGATACAAGTGTGTAGTACACATTCTGCTCATGCTGTTAACATGATCCCATATTCTGATTGACCTTTTGCATTGTCTACACATGTTATAATGTCCATGTTATTGATCATTCTATTTCATTGGATAATGCATTAACCTTCCATACTTTGTATAAATTTAGCCAACACCCAGCTGGTTAAATTTATACAGTACAGCTCTATGTAATTGTATGACTTCCACATGTGTTTCTTGTCTGTTTGTAACCATCACTGGTTTAAAGCAATGTGCATTTGGTTTTTGAAATCCCAGATCTCTGCTCATGTTTATTTGCAGGCATTTGGGCTTCCCTGATGAAATCTCATACAACAAGCTATATCATGTGTCCTGTCTAGTTCAAGGATATTATTGTGAATGGGACAAAGCTAGATAATTCACCCCACAATAGTGCAGTGCCTCGAACTCTTAATCCACAATGCGCCAACAAACAACACATGTGCAATTAAATTGGTTCAATAAAAGAGCGTATGATGCGGTACGCCAAGTATGTACTAATGTGTACCCACTGTGAAAACCTTTTTCATCAAAAAAATGAAAATGTGCAAACATCAATATCGACAATCGAATAAAACCCATCACCATATATATTCTGTGCTCTTCAATCTATATACCTGAAATTATATATATATATCAGTAAATGTCAGTGACTGAGGTGAAAAAAACTAATACACAAACTTTCTAAAAAGTATCCATATTCTGCTACCTGTCCATCACCACACAACTGGTCAGGATTCAAATTCAATTCAAATATTTTCTTCACAAAAGTAGCTGCCAAGGGATTAATACTCCACCAGCACCCGTGTGCTCAAAGACTGGAAGCTTACCTTCACAAATAAACCTCTTGCATTATAGTAGATCAAACACCACCTTTTGAGGATTGTATCTGCTTTCAGCTGGTGTATCACTTTAAATGGAGGATCATCCAGGTTATGGCTCAAGAAGCATTCTCCACTTCCAGCACAAGACCATATTCCTTCGAAAAAAAATAAATAGAGATATTTAGTGCTCTCCGTAAAATCTCAATTTATTTGACCAAATAAAAGAAAATAATAAAATAGAAGCGGCAGCATTCACAGCAATCTAACCAACTTACTCCCGACTCAGTTTAGAGATGACTCCGCCCACTAGCGCAATGAAATCACCAAAGACCGCCCTGCTTGACACGTATCCTCAAAGGACTTCTCAGAAGCATCTATTGTGATGTGCCTGCATACTTTTTATCTTGTGTGAGTAAAATATATTATTTTATCTGATAAATGTTGATTTTATGGAGAGCACTAGATAGCTCTATTTATTTATGTACGAGGAATATGGTTTTGTGCTGAAGAGTGCAGCTTGAGCCATAACCTGGATGACCCTCCTTTTTAAAATGATACGCCAGCTGAAAGTGGATACAGCCCTCAAAGGCTGTGTTTGGTCTCCTGCAATGCAAGAGGTCTATGTGTGAGGAAAGGCTTCCACGGGTGCTGGTGGAGGATTGATCTAGTGGCAACTACTTTTGTGAAGATAATATTTGAAATTTACTTTGAATCCTGACCAGTTGTCTGGTGATGGGCACTTAGAAGAATATGGACACATTTTAGAAAGTTTACTAATTGATTCCTATGTGCAAGAGGCTGTAGAGTTTTAAGCAATATATATGCAACAACATTTTAGAAAGTTTTTGTATTTGTTATTTGCACCTGAAATTTAATGATCAATTATTTTAGAGATATAGATCAGTGTTTCTAACATTTTGTTTTTTTAGTCAAGGCACCCTTTAAAATTCTGCACAATCTCTAGGCACCCTTTAAAATTCTGCACAATCTCTAGGCACCCTTTAAAATTCTGCACAATCTCTAGGCACCCATTATAACATAAAAAAAATATATCAATAGTTTTACAGAACACAGCAAGATCTGCACATGTGTGACACCGAACGTTAGAGGTGATCTATTCTCCCAAAGCAAATACACTTTTGCACACTGGTACTGACTAGTATTCCGTTGTTTCTCTCTTTCACTCAGCTAGTATGGCCCCAGTGCTGATGGAGAGGGACAGGGAAGGGGAAAGCAAGGATGCTATGCAGGTGCCCAATGTCCTTCTTATCAACTGATGACATCATTGGTTGTTGCGTTGCCAGCGGCTAGAAGGTTGTAATGATGCTCTATGAAATCCTGTGGTTTTGTGTAACTAAAAGGTAGCCTTGATCAACCTGCTGGCTTGTATACAGTTTTGGGCAATTTTTAGGCATTTTGTCAGGGCACCCCTGAAGAAACCCCTGAAATAATAAAGTTTTCAGTGGGGATACATTCATAAATAATATTCGTGTATCACCCCACACGCTTGAACCACATTAATTTGCACATGAGTTGTGTTGGTGCATTGAGGATTTTGAGTTCGTAGTGCTGCACTATTTGGTGAATTGTCTGGTTATTTTGGTGCGTGAATGGTGTGGAACATATATTTTCGTGCATGTCTTGCTCCCCGGCAAGTTAAGTGAATTTTTTCTTGAGCTTGTGGCGCAGTGAAACATTTGTTTATTTCTGAATGGGACAGAACTCCCATTGACAAGCAGATAACCATCACTAGATCTAGGGATGTTGTGTCTGTAGGCACTAGGGGTTTCTGCTCAGTGTATAGGCAGGCATTGACAGGCAGTATAAACTTCCAACAAAAGTAGCTTGGTGGGTTTGATTTATATATACACTATTCAGTAGTTTTCGAACACTTGTGGATATCATACAGGGTGAAATAAGAGTCTGTAATACACCTGGCATTCTTATTTAAATTTGCTGCAGGCTGGTGGTACCGGGCTGTTTTCCATGGCTTGTGAAGAACAAAGGTTATGATTTAAGAGCCAAGCTACACTACAGTTAAGAGTTTGCCCTCCACATGTCTGTAGTGTGTCCCTATGCCCCAGATTGTGAGAGGGATTTTAAAACATGTACTACATACCAGTGTGTATGGGGCCAAACGGCCTACCTTTTATATCAGAGTTAACTTTAAATAGTCTTATCTATACCTTTTAGCACATAGAGTTTATTATATCAACATTCTAGTGGCAGCAATCCTCAATTACATTAAAATCTAACATAGGTTTGTACCCCTCTTCAAAAGAGACTGTTCGTTACAAAATTGAGTCACTCTTAATAAATATGAAGCCTGCATTTACACCTGAGCAGAATGTATTCCTGATGATTTTAAAGCATTTCAGTTTTTTTAGGCATTTTTGCACATGTATCAAACTTGAGTAGTTTGTTTCCTGGGCTGGGCAAGGGGAGGTGAGCTGTTCCAAAGGAGGAGATGCGTTCTTCAGGCATAAAAAACAAAATACACAAATACTTACAAAAACATGCATATCATACTGTTAAAGGCATTCCCATCAATGTCTATGGAACCAAAAACAAAGGAATATGCTCAAAACAAAGCTTATGTATTGTTTTGAACATAGAGTATAAGGGGACTGACCATACAAGTGTGAACAGAGACAATTACAATTTAGAAGACTCCAACTAGAAGAATTGGATTCTATGTAGTCAGACTTAGTAAGGTGTAATCATACATACTCAGGTGTAGGGAGACAAGCAGAAAAATGCTAAAGTGTGAATGGGGTCCTAAAGTGATTGTAAAGGCTTATGGGGTTTTTTAATTAAAATAAAACATGTTATACTTACCTGCTTTGTGCAATAGTATTGCACAGAGCAGCCCTGAACCTCCTCTTCTGGGGTCCCCCGCTGGCGCTCTAGGCTCCTTCTCTTCTCAGAGTGCCCCCATAGCAACAGCTACTACCACTGCTCAAGGTAAGCTCGGCAATTAACATCCACTTTATAAACGCAGGAGGGGCGTTAGCCCAGCTCGCCGTTGTACATGCACAAGTGAAAAATTCAGATGACTGCACTCCTTTGTTTTTCAGAGCAACACTTTATTCGAAAACTGTCCATAAAAGCAAGGGTACAAAAGCACTTGTGTGCTTTTGTACCCTTGAGCTGCTTTTATGGGCTATTTTTGAATGAATAAAGTGTTGCTCTGAAGAACAAGGGAGTGCAGCCATGTGGATTTTTCACTTGTGCATGCCGTTTGCTATGGGGGCATTCTCGCAAGCTGGGCTGTGTGTGTCCATAGACTCACACAGCATGGCTCGGCCCCACCC